ACACCAGGTATGTCTTGCGCTACCCTCACAACCTCGTTCCCCAACTCACAGATGCCACTAGCACCCAAGGACCACCCTGCGCTTCACCCAGCAACCAGCAGCGCAGCTTGGCTATGGCTGCGTGSTCCTTCCCTGCTCGCCCGTGAGAGCGTAGGTGCCAGCCAGCAAATAGCGCAGCAGCAGCGCTTGCGCAGCATGCAGCCAGCTCCCGAATACCGAATGAGGAGGCAGGCCCTTCCCTATATCGAAGTGGCCTGCCTGCGTCCAGTCCAGGAAGCTTCCAGTAGGCCCCGGTAGCCTGAGGCCCAGTCACGAAGAACGCAGGCCTTGGGCCTGAAGTGGTTGCATGTGCCCAWCTGCTTTCGGCCTGTGCTTGGCCCGGTACCCGTATCCAGCCCAGGGCCTGCTTTACATTCATTCACACATGCGGCCCAGGGCCTGAGTTCATTCAACCAACTGGCGCTGTGCAACTGCCTGAATTTCCCCAGTTGCGGGGTACCCTGAAAAACGAGGCCCTGAGGGCCTGTCGTGCCTGCCTTCACTTAGGGCGGCCGACCTTGCTGCAAATAAGGGCCCGTAGGGGCATTATAGCTGTATTTGGCACACCTTTCAGCCCAGATACGGCGATAATTACCGGGCGTTCTATTCGGGTGAAGACGGTAGTTTCTCAGACTAACACCTGGGTGGCATGGTGAGTCCTTATCCATCAGTCAAATGCATCCTGAGCAGACTGTCGGGGTTCGACCTCTTCATGAGTCGTTGAAAGTCCTATGAAACAGTCTGGCACAGTCGTGTCTTTTTTTGTGTAGTTGTGCGTGCCGCCGTGGTGGAACATGACAACACACCAGCTGGTTTGAGACATGTTTTCATGGGCAGCGGGAGTAGAAGACAGGAAGAGGGTATAACTTGCCATGTGGGAGCGATCAATGGTGGGGATATTGTGGCCATAACAGGGAGAAGTGTGGAGGAGTCAAACTAATGCTCCCATAATTATTATGGACTTAAAAAGTTAAAAGAGTGCGTAATAGCTCACTGATCAAACACCTTGCGCGGAAGATGAACGGGACTAAGCGGTCTGCCGAAGCTGTGGGATGTAAAGTGACATCGGTAGGGGAGCGTTCGCCAGGCCCATAAGGTCTTGTTTTTATTATCCTTCAAAAAAAGAAGGAACATGACTACACAGTAGTAAACACACACACACACACGCACAGACACACACACACACACACACACAGACAGACACACACACACACACAGAGAGAGAGAGAGAGAGAGAGAGAGAGAGAGAGAGAGAGAGAGAGAGAGAGAGAGAGAGAGAGAGATTGGGCATCTCTATGAGAATAATGGGAAGATGAGCTGAATGAGATTTTCGGTTGATGGCGTTTGAATGATTTTTGTGACAATGATTGACCAGAGTTTTATTTTCTTTTTATTGTCTACCTTTCTTCTCGTCGGAGACGTGTTCCTGACCTCTACTTGTTTTGTTTTTGCACAGCTTAGAAAAGGCTTTGGAGATCGATGTGCACTTACTGGAGTTCAATGACATCCGGTACAGATTGCAGGTGTTCTATGGATACTTCTGCCTTCCTCTCTTGATTTCTATCGGCAGTAGCTGATCGACAGCTGATATGAAACATTGTTCTTTCTATTTGTTTGTTTGTTTAAGCAATTATGTCGTGCTGCCTTTCCCACCTATCCTTCATAAACAGATGCACACATGCAATGGTGTTATTTTGACAACAAACTCACATGCATGCAGAAGACACACACACACACACACACACACACACACACACACACACACACACACACACAGAGAGAGAGAGAGAGAGAGNACACACACACACACACACACACACAGAGAGAGAGAGAGAGAGAGAGAGAGAGAGAGAGAGAGAGAGAGAGAGAGAGAGAGAGAGAGAGAGAGAGAGAAGAAACCCTTCAAATTATACTCGCAAGTTATGAGTAACCCTTGGAGGGTGGACCTGCCTGGTGGCTGAATGCTACACGTGTTTAACAGTTGGGACGCAACGGCAAAATCCTGTTCGTTGAAATATAATATCACTATATATGTTCGTTTGTCTTCTCTTCATCTCTCTTCCCTGTGTTTATCACCTCCCCCTTTACTCTGCCTCTTTCTCACAGTGTATGAGTGGGTGGTTATGGCACATGGGGATGCGGGCAGCTCGTGCTCAACTTCGTCAACGTGGCGAGCCTTGTACATGAGAGGCACGGTGAAGGGGGAGTTAAAGAAGAATGAGAGAAAAATGAATGGTTTCAGTGTGCTGCTCAATGTTTGTCTTGTTTTTTTTTAATCCTTACCGCTTGTTTCGCAAAGTGTGCTCTTTTAGTTCATAGTTATGTGACAGTATAATTAAAAAATTATATATGTAGGGTAGTGCAGGCTTGCTGCGCGTCAGCAGATAATCTGACGCATTTTCCAATTGAGCCAGGTACTACAGGTAGTTTGTCTGTTTCTGCAGAATTTCTGAAGTACCTGTTTCTTAACAGTTAACTCCAACTTGTGTCTATAAAATTTTCCCCTTTCGCTGACATTCGTGACTATTGAGTTTCTGACTTGCAGCCTTGCACTATTAAAGTTTTCCACCTTTTCTTTTGTGGTTCTTTCATTTGGAAAATTTCGGTCTTCGCTTTTTGGTGCAGCTGTTGTCCATGCTCTGTGGATGGTTGGGGAGCTTTTTGGGTGGTTCTTGGTACTTCTTAGCTTGTTATAAAGGTCACCAAATTTGACCAAAAAGAGAAGGGTCAGCAGCAGCATGGAATGTTGAACACATGACCTTGAGCCTTCTGTTAACCGCCTTATGTTACCTGCCTTTAAGTGCCTTATGTTAACTCAACGTAACTGCCTTAACTGCTGTACGTTGATCGCCTTATGTTAACCCACTTTACGTTAACGGCCTTATGTTAATCGCTTTATTTCAACTGCCTTATGTTAATCGCTTTATTTCAACTGCCTTATGTTAATCGCTTTATTTCAACTGCCTTATGTTAATCGCTTTATTTCAACTGCCTTATGTTAAACCACCACTGCCCCAAATGCTATTTTAACTTTTAATGAACTGGTACACATTTTCCAAAGCTGGTCCACCGAACCAAAGCGATGTTCGCCTACCAGTAGCAGAAGAGAGAAAAGAATGTGTGTTCTTTTGCTGCCAGCAATTTTTTGTCAAGTATTCTGTGTGAAAAATCGGCCAAGTTCGTGGACGCAACAGTTCGCGGAAAGCCGTCGACCTCCTGCAGCAGGCCAAGCCTACCAGTCCACCCCATGGCCAGCTGCGGGCACCTGGCAGGTCATTTTTTCGACGTCGAAGTGCAGTGGCGGTTTAACTGCTTTACGTTAACCCGCTTCACGCTAACCGCCTTATTTTTATGTTGACTTCCTTATGTTACACCACCAGTACTTGGCCCGTTTATCAGCTGCGGGCCATTGTCATATACATGCGCCGCAAATTTTGCGGCCTTCGCAGCCGTTGATGGATTTCATCAATGGCCCGTGCCGGATCATTTTTTGGCGCGTAGGGCATCATCCCCAGGGTCGGAGAAAAGTGCCTCGGAAGTACTGCTTCTTTAACCACGGTACGTTAATAGCAAAAAATATAGGATGGGTTTGGACTTTGTAGTGCCGGCACACCAACTTGCCGGCCTACCTCAGTTGGTACACACACCTATCAACTGTTGAAACACAGACCCAAGACCCAAGATGGGTTTGTATAACTTTGTAGCTTTGTAGAGTCGCGACTTACTCGTCACTGTCATCAGCAAATAGAGGGCCTTATAGAGAACGTACATTTCTGCCATCGGCAAAGAACGACGACGTCTTTGTGAAGTTGTCGAAAATGGCACGATAACTTGGAGCAATGTCCCAGGGTGACTTCGGCTGAAGAAGTTTCGGAGTCCTTGTACCTGTTCACTGTGACGGTGCATGTTTATGTCCGGTCCATTTCTAAAGGATCTAACAGTCACATGCGTGTACCATTTGGCCCCAAGCCGGGCCTCAGATTTTTTACCCCTACTGCGGGTTTTGTCATCGGGTGCCGTCTTCTGTTTGTCCTTTTTTGGATTACATTTGGAGGCTTGATGTCTTACGTGTGGGGTTGTTATGTCTTCTTCTGGTGGAGCCGTCTTCTGTTTGTCCTTTTTTGGATTACATTTGGAGGCTTGATGCCTTACGTGTGGGGTTGTTATGTCTTCTTCTGGTGGACTCTCCTTGTTTTAGGCAAGCGTCAAAGACCCCCGCTACATGCGGCTATCCATTAAGATTCCTGCCGCGTCACCTCAGGTCCCTATGGAGGATTCCCTCCCACTTGGTGCTATTGAAGCTGTCGAGGAGGCTTATGGGACACTAGTTGAGGTGCAAAAGGTCCCGGAAGCTGGTTACGACCTCACCTTGAAGGTTGATTTGCATCAACTGCCTCCTACCGAAGGTCTGCTTCCTGTTCTCTGCCTCTGTCCATACCTCCTTGACGACTGTACCTTCTCGCCTAATGCACCTGTCTTTTGTCACATCTTTTTTCTTTGTTTGCCCTCCTCATCAAGTATTGCTTGACCTCCTATGATGCCTTTGTCTGTCTCTGTCGGTCTGTTCCGTCTCTCGTGTCTTGGTCTATCTGGTCTGTCTGGCCTGTTTAGCCTGTCTGGTCCTTGTGGCCTCCCTGGTCTGTGTGGTTGGCCCGGTGGGTCTGGTTGGACTTGTCGGTCTGGTTCAGTCTGGTCCACCTGGTCTCTCGTATCCATGTGGTCTCTCTCTCTCTCTCTCTCTCTCTCTCTCTCTCTCTCTCTCTCTCTCTCTCTCTCTCTCTCTCTCTCTCTCTCTCTCTCTCTTCCCCCGCCCCACACCCCCTTGTGTCCGTCAGTCGGTTGGTCTGGTGGTCGGTTCGTTGGTGGGTGGGCGGGTGGGTCTGTCAATAGGTGGGTTCGTTGGTGGGTCGGGCAGTGCGCCGGGTGGTTGGTCGTGGTCACGCAGTGGGTCGGGCGGCGGGTCGGCTGGGGGGTTGTTTGGTGGGTTGGTTTGTGGGTGGGTCGATGGGATGATGGGCCGGTGGGTGGGTTGGTCGGTTGGTTGGTCAGTGTACAGTGGATCTGCTGTGTACGGGCCCTGGGCAACAAGGCAATGACGACAGGTGGAAAACTTCACGGAGAGGTCAGGCCAAGTCTCTGCTTTCAGGAGGACCATAAGTTGGGGCATCTGGAATCTGCGGTGTGGACGACATACAACTTCTTTGAGCTATTAGCTGTTTGCTCTATTTTGTGTTCTGAGGCGTGTATGCTATTTCTACTCAACCGTGATGTGCTCTGTTCTGAGTTGTGCATCCTATTCAAGCTCTTCTGAGTGCGTCATATTGATGCAATTTTTTTTCTCTAATTCCAGGGCAGGGGTGCGCGCTATTCAGGGCATGAGGAGGTGTACCATCTCTCGGCTTGGGCGTTGTAACACCTTATCCACATAGGTGCAGGGGAACCGAAAGAAGGATGATTGAGTCATGACAGCCTTGTGTGCTACGATTGTCGAGCACTGAGTCAAATGAGAAAACGAAAGCAGACATGACAGTGATATGACTACACTTGCTCAAAATACCGATAGGCCGAAGTCTGCAATCAAAAAAGCACTCCCACTTCACCCCTCCATCATTGTACAGCCACAACCGGCCACTGTGATCACACGAACCCCAGAGCTTAGCCTACCCACTAGCGTTTCACCTGAATAAAACGCCCGGTCATTATCGCCGCATCTGGACCTAAAATTGTGCCAAGTACAGCTATAATGACCGGGCGTTCTATTCGGGTGAAGACTGTAGCCTAGTTTACTATTGCCCTTTATCAAACAATGTTCATCTCGATGCTGCTCTTATGTAGATAGACGAATGAATATTAAGCATTAATGAACCTCCAAACCCAAAGACAACCCCGCCTCTCTCCTGGTGCCACTTGGCACCTGCCCAAGCCCAGAGCAGGCCTTTCTTGATGGCGCCCACCTCTCTCTCTCACGCACACAACACATACACACACGCACACATAGAGACGTGGGAAACCTTGCATCTTCTATTATATTTCCCACGTATACTTAAATTTATGGATGGTCTGTGATGGTTTGTGAATGGAGAGAGAGAGAGAGAGAGAGAGAGAGAGAGAGAGAGAGAGAGAGAGAGAGAGAGAGAGAGAGAGAGAGAGAGAGAGAGAGAGAGAGAGAGAGATTATTTTTTTTTAACAACACACAGTCCGGTCTTGCTAGCTCTCTGTCCTGGCCGATTTGAGTGGCTAGGGTCGGGCTTGTACTAGCGAGCTATTCTTTTCTGTGGTTGGATGATTTGTTGGTTGTTTTTCTTATTGCAATGAACCTTTTAGTTCAACACCAGTGAGCGCACATATTCACACCTCATGCATATATGAGTTCATACGAAGTTCACACTGAAGACCAGATAGATTAAAACCAGAAAACGCATCTTATGAAGTCCAACAAAATATACAAGAGCAATAAGAGTTCAAGTCGCCAGCGCTCATCAGCGCATATCGAAGGTAACCAGTATCCAGTATAAACTCTCAGGTAAGTATCTCTTCCTCTCTGCTCTTCTCCCTCGCTGGTCTCCTCTCTAGCTATGTCCTCGCTGTATCGTCTCTCTCTACATACATGCACACTCACCATCTTCTACTCAAAGATCTACTCTGAATACACCCACTGTCAACTCTACTAACCCCTCTGGAGTCTACTACTAACATCTAGCACTAACACTTCTGCGCTGGCGCAGCTATGGCTGCCTTCCTCCTGCCAGCGCTATCTTCCTCTCTCTCCCTCACTTAGCGCAGCACTCTGGCTTCAGCGCTCTGCTCCTCACTTCAGCACACAAGTGCACCAGCACTTCCACACTTCTTGCAAATGAGCAATCTGCGCGAATGGGAGGCTGGCCAATCCTTTTGTAGTCTTTGTTTGCACTTCAACTCGTGCCAGCCTCTGTTTCTTGGATCCTAACTGGTTCCGGTACCACATCCCCACGGCCTGTCTGCTTCTGAATGTCAAGGCCTGGAACCTTCCCGAATTTCCATTGGACTGCTGCTGCTTGGACCTTTGAGTCATGACTTTTCACTTGTGAACATGGCTTTTGACTGTGGATAGTGACTCCTGCCTGTGGGTCACGACTTTTGCCTGTGATACTGCCTTTACTCGAGGGATGCGACTCTTCTGAATGGTTTTTATTATGAGACGTGACTCTTGTCCCTGAAACGTGACTGTTTGCTGGGTGCCTGTTGGACCAGACTGCTGAGGTACCCGATTGTGACTTTTCTGCGTTTGACGAACTCGGCCTGGGCATCTGACCCTGAAGTCCGAATTTGGGGTCTGAATCGTGGAAGGCCTTTCATTATTCATGCATGGCTTAATTCCTTGCCCTGCTTTAGAGTATGGGCTGTCTTTTGATGAAGGCATGTCTGTGGGTCGCTACGAGTTTTATTGGGCGGGAATGTTTGTTTGGAGTTATGGCCATGGTGTCTTCGCGAGGAGGCTCAGAGAGTCCCTGCTGTGGGTGTCACTCCCGCGGGCTACTCTTTTGGAGCACATGGAAGCTGGTGGAGCTTCTATGGTGTTTTAAGCAGTAGCGCTCCTGTGGAGTTCTTTTGTGGCTTTGGTGGGCCCACTCAGAGGGCTCTCGTAATTCTTTGGGACCAATCGGGGCTTGGTCGGTGCTATCTTGTTGGTAGAGCCTTTTCTGTGTTGTGGTGCGCACTTATTCTCTGTGGTCCGTGTAATGTAATTCATTCAGCATGTCGCCTTTTGTTCTCCATCGACGTACGCACGAATGTTTGGATCTGTGCGTGGTATGTGACGCTGTGGGGCAGGCTGGGGTTGTACGCTTTGGCGGCAGACAGGTCAGTGGGCACCCTCTAGTTTTTCATAGATTAAAAAAATTCAAAAAATTATATAATATGATATATCTGTGCAAATGTGCCGCTTCGGCGGCAGACGGGTGTGTGGGCACTTCCCGCTCAACCACAAACATGGGGAGCCTTGCATCTTCTATTGTACTGCCCACCTATACTTGAGCCGGGGAACGTCGTGAGGGACGCCGGGGCCGTTTCCTGTCTGTATGTATAAATGTGCAACAACAAAAAAAAACATTTACCAAATTTTTAATTAAAATATATATATGCGAGGATCTGGGTCCTCGACAGGCCTAAGGGGCCCCGGTTGCAGTGGTGCCCGCCCTAAGTGAAGGCGGGCCTAACTTCACAAGAGGCCTTTGACTGTCAATTTCATATTTGGGGTCCAGGCAGTTGCGACGCGCCAGTTGGTTGAAAGAAACACAGGCCGGGTAACAAAGACATTTCCGCGGCCTACCGGGCCTTTCCAAAGAATGCAGGCCCTGGGCGTGAATCGCAGCCTCATACACTGACAGTTGGGAGGCCCAACCAACGAGGCCCAGTAGCTGCAGAGCAAAGGCAGCATCCTGGGGCCTTCCGGAAGTTTCTGGGCCCAGGCCAGTGCAGCCAGGCTGCGCGAGCAGGCCAGCTCTTTCCATAAAGAGCTCTCCCCTGGCAGCCTCATTGGGTCACTTGCTGGCTGGCGGCAGCGCTGCTGGAGCGATAGCTCGCGGGCTGGCTGCTGGCACTGGGAGCAAGAGGCTGCGCATGTGCGGTCGTGTGGTGAAGCAGGGGGCTGCTGAGGGCAGCGCCATAGCCAGCCTTCATAGCGGGCTGGGCTTGGATGTACAGTGAGGCGCAGGGGTGGTCTTCGGGTGTAAGAGAGGACA